CACCTGTTGGTGTTAAATACACAAGAGTGTGAATACTCAAACCGTTTTCATTTTGAAAATATTTCTGCCACATTCAGAAGAGCACAATGAGTAGGGACAATAATCGAGTAATCTACACTGAAAAATATATATAAATGCAACATGTAAAGTGTTCGTCCCATGTTTCATGAGCTGAAATAAAAGATCCCAGAAATGTTCCATATGCACAAAAAGCTTATTTCTCTCAAATTTTGCAATTGGCAAGCTGACTGCAGGAATGTCCACCAGAGCTGTTGCCAGATAATGTTATGTTCATTTCTATACAATAAGCCGCCTCCAACGTCGTTTTAGAGAATTTGGTACATGTCAACGTTGTGAAGAGGTTTGCTGATGTCAACGTTGTGAACAGAGTGCCCCATGGTGGCAGTCGGGTTATGGTATGGGCAGGCATAAGCTACGGACAACGAACACAATTGCATTTTATCGATGGCAATTTTAATGCACAGAGATACCGTGACGAGGTCCTGAGGCCCATTGTCGTGCCATAAATCCACCGCCATCACCTCATATTTCAGCATGTCGCAAGGATCTGTACACAATTCCTGGAAGCTGAAAATGTCCCAGTTCTTCCATGGCCTGCATACTCACCAGACATGTCACCCATTGAGCATGTTTGGGATGCTCTGGATCGACGTGTACGACAGCGTGTTCCAGTTCCCGCCAATATCCAGCAACTTCGCACAGCCATTGAAGAGCAGTGGGATAACATTCCACAGGCCACAATCAACAGCCTGATCAACTCTATGTGAAGGAGATGTGTCGCTCTGCATGAGGCAAATTGTGGTCACATCAGATTCTGACTGGTTTTCTGATCCACGCCCCCACTTTTTTTAAAGGTATCTGTGACCAACAGATGCATATCTGTATTCCCAGTCATGTGAAATACATAGATTAGGGCCTAATTAATTAATTTAAATTGACTTACATCCTTATATAAACTGTAACTCAGTCAAATCTTTGAAGTTGTTGCATGTTGCGTTTATATTTTTGTTCAGTATGGTGAATCCTAACTTACACTTCATTTCAGAATTTCACTTATTTTTCAATATTGCCCAAATGGAAACGGCATCAATCGAACACCTTTAATGCGGGCAGTGGGAAAACGTAACGTGATGCTGATGTTATGTCTTTTAATGTTCGTTATCTGTGTCCACTTTGGTCAGCTGACAGACTCATCTATGCAGCCCCTCACCACATCTCATCTTTAGGGAGCACTGCCCTCTGCACATCATACCCACATTAAAAAATACTGCAGTTTACTATAGAATTCTGTAGTATACTGTATACAGGAGGTTGGTGGCACCTTAATTATGGAGGACGGGCTCGTGGTAATGGCTGGAGCAGAATAGGTGGAATGGTATCAAATACATCACACACATGGTTTCCATGCATTTAATGCCATTCCATGTACTCCGTTCCAGCCATTATTATGAGCCGTCCTCCCCTCAGCAGCCTCCACTGATTTTGTAGAACACTATACCACACACTGTAGTGTCCCTTGATCATGTGTAGTACTTACTATATAATGTTGTACTATACTGTAGAATATTATAATAAATACTACAGTATTATCCCCCAGAAACTCTGTAGTAAATACTACAGTAATGTCCGCAAAAACACTACAGTCCGCAAAAACACTACACTTTTTTAACTATAGTAAATACTACAGAATTTCATTTACATATACCTTTGCCATTCCCCTCCCCCATATCCCAATTTGTGCCACCCATAGGTGAGGAACCTACATGCCAAGTATAGACCATATATTGTGTTCCCTACATGTCATAGAAAAGAGCAGAAGCGCTGAACTATCTGTTCAGACCCCCCAGTCCTACCTATCTGGAAAAATTACTATTTTAGTATTTCTCCAGTAGGTTTCCTCAAGGAGAAAGCCTCTACATTTATGTCAAAGATAATAAAATAAAAACACTATAGTAAATACTACAGTAATGTCAGCAAAAACACTGCAGTAAATACTATACTACAGTCCGCGAAAACACTACAGTAAATACTACAGTATACTACTTTCTGCAAAAACACTACATTCATTAGTTTAGTATTTACAATTTTTATATTTTACTACAGTATTTATATTAAAATTAAAGGTGCAATATGCACAAATCACTCCGCCATTTCCTGGTTGTTCAAATTTGAATAGTTCAACTAATTTCAATATGTGACGAAACAAGCAATGTGTAAAGAGAGTTATTGTGCCGCTGTGAAATATACACTGCTCAAAAAAATAAAGGGAACACTTAAACAACACATCCTAGATCTGAATGAATGAAATAATCGTATTAAATACTTTTTTCTTTACATAGTTGAATGTGCTGACAACAAAATCACACACAAATTATCAATGGAAATCAAATTTATCAACCCATGGAGGTCTGGATTTGGAGTCACCCTCAAAATTAAAGTGGAAAACCACACTACAGGCTGATCCAACTTTGATGTAATGTCCTTAAAACAAGTCAAAATGAGGCTCAGTAGTGTGTGTGGCCTCCACGTGCCTGTATGACCTCCCTACAACGCCTGGGCATGCTCCTGATGAGGTGGCGGATGGTCTCCTGAGGGATCTCCTCCCAGACCTGGACTAAAGCATCCGCCAACTCCTGGACAGTCTGTGGTGCAACGTGGCGTTGGTGGATGCAGCGAGACATGATGTCCCAGATGTGCTCAATTGGATTCAGGTCTGGGGAACGGGCGGTCCAGTCCATAGCATCAATGCCTTCCTCTTGCAGGAACTGCTGACACACTCCAGCCACATGAGGTCTAGCATTGTCTTGCATTAGGAGGAACCCAGGGCCAACCGCACCAGCATATGGTCTCACAAGGGGTCTGAGGATCTCATCTCGGTACCTAATGGCAGTCAGGCTACCTCTGGCGAGCACATGGAGGGCTGTGCGGCCCCCCAAAGAAATGCCACCCCACACCATGACTGACCCACCGCCAAACCGGTCATGCTGGAGGATGTTGCAGGCAGCAGAACGTTCTCCACGGCGTCTCCAGACTCTGTCACGTCTGTCACATGTCACACTCCCACCACCATGCTTGACTGTAGGCAAGACACACTTGTCTTTGTACTCCTCACCTGGTTGCCGCCACACACGCTTGACACCATCTGAACCAAATAAGTTTAGGATCAACCCTATATGTTCAGACAGAAAGTGAAAATGAAGCATAGGCTTTAGAGGTTAAGTCAGAGAAGAGAGGAGGTGTAGCGTGGTGTAGCTGCTGGAGAGAAGATAAGCGACGGTCCTTATCGCTCAACCCACAGGAGTAGCACTCAGGCACGTCAGCACCGAAATGCAGAGCAGAACATGCTTCTGAAAAATTCCCCGTGCATGCTTCTTGGGCCCTCAGTCTTGACTGCATCCATCACTGACCAGACAAGGGCTCGAACAATTAAGGAGTCTTCTCCAAACTCCATCTATGCCGGTCTCCCGCAGTCAAGCATTAAAAGGCCAAATTACCAAAATAGTCTGGCCACAGGCTTGTAGGATAACCATTGCATTCAGGTAATATAAGCAAAATGACATGACTTTGGATTCCCACACTAGAGATAGACAAAACTGAGAAAACCATCTAATTTGGGACATAGTTCAATAATTGAGGTGAAGGGGTAAAAACCTGGGGACAGGTGTTCTTTTGATCTCCCTCTATTTACAAAACATAACTGGGATCACTAGACATGGAGGTAACTTGACAGTAAGGATAAAAGGACAAGCTTCCCAAAGACCATGAGAAAGAGGTCACAAACCCAATAGTGTATACACCATGCATAGCACTGCTAAACTAGGCCTGCATTCGCTCCACTCATTTGAAACAGTGAGTATTTGTTTGTCTTGACCCATTTCATGAAGGGAATGTTTCCAAAGAATTGTGTTTATACTTCTTCAGTTGGTAGGGCAGGGGAAGTTTACGGGCAAGGCAGAGATTAATTCCAATCGTGGATTTGGACAATGCACCATTTAGAGGCCATTTCCGATTTAGCCGCCATATGCAGCATTTACTGTGAATGTGGTCTCTGCGAACGTGGTAACATTGCCTTTAAAACGTGCATTGCAGACAAAGCGCAATCAGATTGAATCCCGGTCCAAGTATATTTGCTCGTATCGTGGTTGTACCACAAATAAGGAAGAAACAAATGATTAATTTCAACTTTTTATTAATAGAAAACTAATCCATAGGGTCTCATACAAAAATATACTTTTAATTTATGATATGCACAAAATATAAAAGATGCATTGCATACGTGTTCTCACAGATCAGTCTTACAGTCATTCAGTTGAGGAAGAACAATAAAATTGAGCACCAGCTTAAGCATCCCACAGTGAAATGCTGTCTAGGAGAAACACCAAATATATTGACAATATTATTCTCACATAAGGTATATTTGTCAATGTCTCAGAGCATGTGGGAGTAGTTCAGCCTAAATACACCCCAGTTTGGCTTAGTGATTCAGCCCTCATTTGGAATACATATATTGAAGTTTTGTTTTGGACACTTCAACATAACAAATTATTTTTTTTTAACACGGAGAAACTAACTATTCTAAACCAGGAGATCTCCTGTAGGCAGTTCTAGACAATATGCATCCATAAGAAAGTGCTATACCATAGAATGAACACATTTTTCAAAAACACTGGTACAGAAGAATATATGGACTTGATATGCTTGATTGTCCCTTGATACCTTGGGAATATATATATATATATATATATATATATATATATATATATATATATATATATATATATTCAACATGCCGCAATTCTCAAAAGCAACAAATATTCTCTTAACATCTGTCTGACAATGTCCCTAACAAAATTGCTTACTTTCATTTTAGAAATAAACAAAATATGGTTCCTCAGATGAAATCCCAAATTTTCATGAAATACAGGAATTATATGAATTGACTATACACCATGAAGGACGGACACCCAACAAGCAAAGAGCTTATTCATAATCAGTTTGGGACTTAAGAACAAGTGCTTGGCCCCAGTGGGAAACTCATGGACAAGACATCGCAAACCACGAGGTCTGTGTCACAGTCAGGTGCAGAAACCGGAACAGCAACAGTCCAGGAGGAAACAGAATAAGATCAGCTTAGGTGGTGCAGCAAAGATTGCCGACAGCGCCGGCACAAGAACACTTCAACCTCTTGCCCGTCACAGCCTCTCCCTTTCTCGATGCAGGGCCAGCACCGTTATCCGCCACCACATCACTTCCCAAAGTCCATCCAACACTTCTCCATAAGTAGTTTGGATGTTCTGCTCAAGTGAGCTAAGTGTCGAAAGTGGCCCAGAGTTCTGGAAGCGCCGAGGTAATTCAGCAGACCTGCAGCATGTGAGCGTTGCCATTTAACTCCTCATCAACCTGAAACAAACGAGAGACACTTGGTTTAGATCACCTGCTCATCAATTAATTCACACTTCAACTAGTACCATCATGGAGATATCTTATCACTTAATCACTCTGCATTTATTTTTTAGACACTCACCTCAGAGTAGGCAGGCAGGGGTGGGAACTGGAACGCTGGGGAGTGCATGAAGATGGGGCTGTCATCGCCATCGTAGTCATTCAGCAGAGGCGTGAGGGGCTGGTCCAGGCGGCAGTCGCGGGTGATGTCGCAGTAGCTGGGGGGAGCAGAAGGCATGCGCAGGGACACCCAGCTGGCTGAGGCGTTGCTGACAGAGCCGTCTGTGCTGCTCACGCTGTTGGTGCGGCTTCCAAGCCCGGCTGTGCCGATGACCAGCGGCAGCTCCAGGATCAACTTTTCGCTGCCTGGGATGTGCATGTAGATCTGGAGGAGGTGATAACGTTAGAAACCAGACTTGCCGAGTGGCCATTTCAAAAGGCTGCATGTCTAACTAGTGCGGTCACTTGGCTATCCTCTTATCTAACTGAAGGACTGGCGGATTTAGAGTAATGACCATAGTATTACAAGCATGTGTATGATGCATTAGTTTGACAGTTAATAAATACACTTAATTTCCCCAACGGCTGCTTACCACCAAAACCATTAGCACTATGCTATTATGCTAGTTGGAGGGACTCAAGATGCTCACCATGAGGGCGTACTCTACACGGATTATGTTGCAGCCCAGCATGGAGGGCTTGATCTTGGGCACCCGGATGGTCTTGCCCTGCCAGGCATCACACATGCCGGAGATGATGTGGTTGCCACGCACAGAGGAGAGCTTCTGTCGGAAGACCTTGGTCCTACCATTGGCCTGGTAGGTGTGCTTGGAGATGATGGCTGCCTTTGGCACCACAATGCGTGAGCAGGTGTTCTCAAACTTGGCACTGATGCAGATGTCTTCACCCTCACAGAACCCCTTGCGGTCAATCTTGGCGTTCAGGGACACCTGGCCATCGGGAATGAACATGCAGGTGACCTTCTTCTCCTTCATGCCACCTGTAGGAGCCTGAAGAGAGGGCGAGAAAAAGATGGCATGGTTTCACAGGGGCTCACTTTAACATAAATGTTTAACCATGTTAGAGAGCTCTAATTCAATATCTATTTTCCTTCATGTCCACATAAATGCAAAGTTAACTTAATAATTTGAAGACTTCTAGGACCTATGACCTGAATAGCATGCGGTCAAATCTGTCCATGCTTTACAAGGAAGGCAGCTGAGCAGGATGTGACACAGGTTCCCGGGGCATGTCACATGACTGTAATCCCACATTTGAATTTATAGCTCAAGGGAAAAGTCTGATACAGACTGCTCACTCTGAATGCTTTCAGAATGTCATATGTTATGTATCAGAAATACTATTAAATATTTGTTCCTTTCAGACTTCAAGTTTCTACTTTTGCAGTTCAGGCTTTGTGATAAATGAGATTAACTCACCAGCAGATCTGGTGTGTTCACATCCAGGGGCTCCTCCACCTCAAAGTGCTTCTGGCACTCCAGGGCAGGCTGAGCAGGCCTCTCCATAAAGGCCTTGACATAGTATTGGACATAGCCAAACTTGCCCTTGTAGGAAGACACAATCTGCCTGTGGGGAAACAAAAATGAAAAGATAAGACAGAGCCACAGACCCAGAGAGGAAGTTCTCTTGTATGGACTCAATAAAAGCATACAGGCCAATGCATAGACTTACCCTTGCTGGGGGAGCTCAAATCCAAACATGTACTCGTACTTGTTGCCAGGTCTAAGGATAACAGATCCATCATGATCTGAAAATGAAAAGAAAGTGATTTAATGAAAAGGTGATTTATCTTGCCAATTCCATTAATCAGGCAAAAGGCTGCTTTATTTTATTTTTACTTTGGACTATCAGCTATGTTAACTTCCTGCCAAGCCAAGCCGTGGAGGTTTGCCAAGGACACCATGCCACCCTCAGCCAAGTATGGCGAAACATAGATACTAAATTCTTGACACCTCATAAGGGGATTCCCTGTATCGACTGACCATGCACTGCTCAGTTACTGCTGTCAGAAGGTTTTTTATTGGCCAGTCAATCATTCTGTGAAATTCAACTCTAAATCAATGACTCCTCATAAGTAGGGGACACTAAATCTAAAGAACAACCCATATAACTGCTAGGTAAACTAACCTAATCCTTCACATTAATCTGTAACTCGATCCTTACAGTGACCTTCACATTTGAAATGCGTGTTACAATTGATCTTTGAGTCACTATCATCATCAACAGCAGCACCAGCTAAATGGGCATCCATTTGGCTAAACTTTAAAATAAATTCTTTATCATATTGATTGCAGGGGATAATTCAATGAGGATCTTACCAGCTGGCTGGTCATCAAGTTGAACAACCTCTTCGTATCTCAAGTACTCATTCTCCTGTCGACATTTCTGCTTTCCTTTGGCATATTCCACTTTTGCGCATCCAACTCCGAGCACTCTCATAGCCGAGACTTTCGTCACCTCCGCTACTTCCACCACAATCCTCCCGGCTACTTTGTCTCCACTGCAGTAGAAAGCCTTGCTAGGATCGCTGAAAATAACCTCGAAGGTCTTCACTCTCTTTGACATAACAACCATGTTCGCTATTGAATAGATATCCAAGTCGAAGAAGATTTGAAATGCAAGAAGTTCAGAGCTATTCCAATTCGAAGTTGATGTTTTGTTGTTCAATAAGACAGTCAAAGTCAATATGATTGACTGAGTGGGTTTCAGAGTTCTACGACCCCGAACCAGCGCAAAATGCTTGCTTTAGTGTATGACTATCATCAGGTATAACCTACTCTCATGTTAACTTTATGATCTATAAACGAAGAAGGCGCAGCTTTTATATGAGGAGACCAGCCAGTGATTCACCAGCGTTGTTGATCGCTTCAGCTGAGCACGTGGAAGCAGAATGCAAGTTATGGCTCAGCGCATGCACATCACTCTCATTGGTTGAAAACGATGTTTGTGTCGTCTTTAACCAATCACCACCCGGGAACTGCGCGTGGACACCTCGTGGCTGAGAAGATAGCGCGAGTGCTCAGCAGCTGTAACGGATAAGGGGGTTTCGGAGGAGTGGCTAGACTAGCTGCTTGTCTGGAGAAATAAATTACCGTTCCAAGCCCAGGACAGGAAGGAGAGCTCTCAAATCTATGATGTGATTTAGTATAGTCTATTTTACAGCCCCATAGATATACATTTTCCCTCCTGGTAGTGGATAAATGAGTGTTATGGCTCTACAAACTATGTCAGATGTATTGGGGAAACAATTTGACAGAGTTGTTGGAGGTCAAGCTTGCTTTGGTATATTTCAACATAGGCTTGCCCATGCCTTCAGTAGGCTTTCAAGGAAGCACACTGTGATTAGGTTAATCAAAATTATCAAAAATAACTACATACATTTTCCTCAGGATTGTTATTCCATGAAACCCACTTAGAAAAAGTAGCCAGCACTGCATTTTAACGAGATTTATGTGGGGTGATGTCCACTGCTATTATCAAACCAATATCCACAATTACATATTGATAACTGACATATGGACTCTAAAGTTCTCAGCATAGGCAGGGACGGATTAAGAAATCATAGGCCCCGGGGCTTTGTTTTTTTCATGCAATTCTACGTAATTTACATGACAGAAGACATTACATTTACATTTACATTTTAGTCATTTAGCAGACGCTCTTATCCAGAGCGACTTACAGTTAGTGAGTGCATACATTATTATTATTATTTTTCATACCCCCCGTGGGAAACGAACCCACAGCCCTGGCGTTGCAAACGCCATGCTCTACCAACTGAGCTACATCCCTGCCGGGCATTCCCTCCCCTACCCTGGACGACGCTGGGCCAATTGTGCGCCGCCCCATGGGTCTCCCGGTCGCGGCCGGCTACGACAGAGCCTGGATTCGAACCAGGATCTCTAGTGGCACAGCTAGCACTGCGATGCAGTGCCTTAGACCACTGAATATTTTTGAACACCACACAAATTACCTAAATGAGTGACTACTCTGACAAACTGAGATCAATTGGTCTTGAATTCAAACAAACAATAGCCCAGGCCAATGAAGCGACACACAGATTGTACAATATTAGGAGGAAATAAATATACTGAGTATACTAAACATTAGGGACACCTTCCTAATATTGAGTTGAGCACCCCCTCCCCCTCCCCCCTTTTGCCATAAGTACAGCCTCAATTCGTCAGAGCATGGACAGTGACTCTACAAGGTGTCGAAGCGCTCGACAGGGATTCTGGCCCATGTTGACTCCAATGCTTCCCAAAGCCTCTATTTACATGTTACTTATGAGTGCATTTCACACTACTTTTGGATGATAATTGGATTGTAAGGCTCGTATGAATGGCCTGCTTAATATAATGTTTGTGTCATCATCGCAAATCAGCTGCATTATACTTAAAAAAACATTTCAACTTCAACCAGTAAAATGGCTCTTTGGCTAGTACAGCCTATATCAATGACCGTTAGCATTTTAGCTAACAACCTCTGCATCCAAAATAGTTATTTTGCAAAGATCACAACCAAATATAATCTCAGCGACTGTTCAAGCAATAATCAAAACATCATTGTAAGCGTATGAGAACCCCAAAAAGTTATTTTGTTTAGAAGTTTAAAAAAAACGTAAATCTAGGCAATGTTGGATGGGGGCAAATGGCGATGGCTTTCTTACTGCCGACTAGAGTCGCGCCATCAGTGCATGATGCCAGTGTGTACTGAAAAAGGGTCTATAGCTTTCACCTGTTCAGTCTGTTATGGAAAGAGCAGATGTTCTTAATGTTTTGTATGGTCAGTGTATATCATAGGCACACTGACTCACCTAATGATGAAGGTGATAGCCATAGCTAGGCTACTCATGAACCGGTGATGGCCGATGCGCTCGTCGTGGCACTAGCGTACTGTTACCTATCTCAAGATGAGCTACTTTGAAAAACAGTGCTGCTGTTAGCAAAACATTGGGAATTGTTGAGACATTTTTTGTTTCTAACGGTTCTACAGCCAGATTAGTCTTCTCTTTTCAGCTGTATGCATTTTCTTTCCAAACTACGTTTTTCCCTAGGTTTCTGAAATCTGCGAAAGGCAAACCGACAGCCACAACCAGCCATAGAAATATAATCCATTGTTGGCAGTTCAATTACATTTACATCATTTAGCAGACGCTCTTATCCAGAGCGATTTACAAATTGGTGCATTCACCTTATGATTCCCATTTCCCAGTTCCCATTCAAATCAGGACTGGCATACATTAGGGTACCCATGAGTTTAACATTTTAATTGCCAGGGTAAGAGGTTACAAAACCCTTCTATGGGTTATATGTCTATGGCCACAAGGCATATTTGGTGCGCGCTGCACAAACTGTGGCCTTCCGACTGTAGGCATTCTGATAACTGCCTAAATAAAGGATACATTTCCTGGCATGGTTAAGGTCCACTTGTAGAATTTATTACCAAGGCGCATTGAAGCTGTTCTGGCAGCTCATGGTGGCCCAACACCCTTTTAAGACACTTTTATGTTGGTGTTTCCTTTATTTTTGGCAGATACCTGTATGTGCTTGTGATAAAACTGAATCCACAGTTATACATTTGATAAACTATTGATCCTCTGTAGCTAAATTATGTTCTCTGGTGTATTTTGAACATTTAGAGTGGGCTCCTGTGGTTGGATAAAAAAATATAATAAAACAAAATAACCTAATTATCAATTTTTTTGTAAAACAAATTGCCTCATGGGCCCAGCCCCTGACTCACACATTTGACCAGTCACATTTATTTATTCTGCAGTTTTTTAAATTAATCAATTACCCAATCAAGGCAGTTACCCACGTGGGCCTCCTAGCTCCTCTCCACCCCCCATCTGATGATTAGCAGAGTGGCAGCAGCAGGCTGTCTACACTCATTGAGAGCAGGCTCCTGAGTCCTCCTGTGATTGGCGGTTGCAGTAAAAAAAAAGACAAAATATATACTAAACTCAGCATAAAAAGAAACGTCCCTTTTCAGGACCGTCTTTCAAAGATAATTTGTAAAAATCCAAATAACTTCACAGATCTTCATTGTAAAGGGTTTAAACACAGTTTCCCATGCTTGTTCAATGAACCATACACAATTAATGAACATGCACCTGTGGAACGGTCGTTAAGACACTAACAGCTGACAGATGGTAGGCAATTAAGGTCACAGTTATGAAAACTTAGGACACTAAAGAAGCCTTTCTACTGACTCTGAAAAACACCAAAAGAAAGATGTCCAGGGTCCCTGCTCATCTGCGTGAATGTGCCTTAGGCATGCTGCAAGGAGGCATGAGGACTGCAGATGTGGCCAGGGCAATAAATTGAAATGTCCGTACTGTGAGACGCCTAAGACAGCGCTACAGGAAGACAGGACTGACAGCTGATCGTCCTCGCAGTGGCAGACCACGTGTAACAACACCTGCACAGGATCGGTCCATCCGAACATCACACCTGCTGGACAGGTACAGGATGGCAACAACAACTGCCTGAGTTACACCAGGAACGCACAATCTCTCCATCAGTGCTCAGACTGTCCGCAATAGACTGAGAGAGGCTGGACTGAGGGCTTGTAGGCCTGTTGTAAGGCAGGTCCTCACCAGACATCACCGGCAACAACGTCGCCTATGGGCACAAACCCACCGTCGCTGGACCAGACAGGACTGGCAAAAAGTGTTCTTCACTGACGAGTCGCGGTTTTGTCTCACCAGGGGTGATGGTCAGATTCACGTTTATCGTCGAAGGAATGAGCGTTACACCGAGGCCTGTACTCTGGAGCGGGATTGATTTGGAGGTGGAGGGTCTGTCTTGGTCTGGGGTGGTGTGTCACATCATCATCGGACTGAGCTTGTTGTCATTGCAGGCAAACTCAACGCTGTGCGTTACAGGGAAGACATCCTCCTCCCTCATGTGGTACCCTTCCTGCAGGCTCATCCTGACATGACCCTCCAGCATGACAATGCCACCAGCCATACTGCTCGTTCTGTGCGTGATTTCCTGAAAGACAGGAATGTCAGTGTTCTCCCATGGCCAGCAAAAAGCCCGGATCTCAATCCCATTGAGCATGTCTGGGACCTGTTGGATCGGAGGGTGAGGGCTAGGGCCATTCCCCCCAGAAATGTCCGGGAACTTGCAGGTGCCTTGGTGGAAGAGTGGGGTAACATCTCACAGCAAGAACTGGCAAATCTGGTGCAGTCCAATAGGAGGAGATGCACTGCAGTACTTAATGCAGCTGGTGGCCACACCAGATATTGACTGTTACTTTTGATTTTGACTCCCCCCTTTGTTCAGGGACACATTATTCCATTTCTGTTAGTCACATGTCTGTGTAACTTGTTCAGTTTATGTCTCAGTTGTTGAATCTTGTTATGTTCATACACATGTTAAGTTTGCTGAAAATAAACGCAGTTGACAGTGAGAGGACATTTCTTTTTTTTTGCTGAGTTTACATATATAATATATACTGTATATATAATACAGTGCCTTGCAAAAGTATTCATCCCCCTTGGTGTTTTTCCTATTTTGTTGCATTACAACCTGTAATTTAAATGGATTTTTATTTGGATTTCATGTAACGGACATACACAAAATAGTCCAAATTGGTGAAGTGAAATGAAAAAAATAACTTGTTTAAAATGTTTTATACAAAATAAATAACGGAAAAGTGGTGTGTGCATATGTATTCACCCCCTTTGCTATGAAGCCCCTAAATAAGATCTGTTGCAACCAATTACCTTCAGAAGTCACATAATTAGTTAAATAAAGTCCACCTGTGTGCAATCTAAGTGTCACATGATTTGTCACATGATCTCAGTATATATACACCTGTTCTGAAAGGCCCCAGAGTCTGCAACACCACTAAGCAAGCGGTACAACCAAGCAAGAGGCACCATGAAGACCAAGGAGCTCTCCAAACAGGTCAGAGACAAAGTTGTGGAGAAGTACAGATCAGGGTTGGGTTATAAAAAAATATACGAAACTTTGAACATCCCACGGAGCACCATTAAATCCATTATAAAAAAATTGAAAGAATATGGCACCACAACAAACCTGCCAAGAGAGGGCCACCCACCAAAACTCACAGACCAGGCAAGGAGAGCATTAATCAGAGGCAACAAAGAGACCAAAGATAACCCTGAAGGAGATGCAAAGCTCCAC